GCAAAGAAAAGTGCTGTGTGGATAAACAAAAAAGCCTCCTGAGCACATCCCACCCTCTCTTTCTAAAAGAGATGCTGCTTCCCTTTGCTCGTTGGAAGATTTGTAAGCCACAGACAACTCTGTTTAAGCCTTTTGGAAGGCAACATTTCAAGCACATAGCTCACTGCACTAAAAAAAGTCACCAGTAACCACTCTTCGAAACAGATTCAAGAAATTCAAGGGTTACAGGTAAAACAAACCAATCTACTTGAGAAGCAAGTCAGTTTTATAACAGAAGGGATACTATCAGACCAGTGATAGAGAAAGCTTGGTCTACTACTTCAGAAGACCTGTGTTTTACTTCACCAGAGAGAAAGGCATTTGGTGCTCTTGTGGCTTCAATGTCCAGGTGAAGGGTTTTTCAAATGTACACCCCAAAAAAATGCAAGCAAGGTCGGGAATCTCATTTCTAAGCTGCAGGAATCTAATGCAACCGAAGGGTTTTCTTTGTTGTTGCTGTTTCTGTCTTTTCACCATTTAACTGCAACCTCAGCTTTCAAAAGACCAAGTGAGTAAGGTGCTTGCCCAGACGATGCTCCTCTGTCCAGCGCCCAGATTTCAGCTTGCCCATACACACTCGCTGTGCACTTCTCTTAGCAAAGCCAGACAGGTAATAATAGTGAATAAAAAGCCTATTGACAAAGCACTGGCTCCTTCTCAAGTAAAGTAGAGTACCACTACAGCATGAATGACTCAATCATCTACTCGAGAGCCATTACTTGCAGCGATGAAGCAATGTTAATTGGATAATGGCCTGCTGCCAGCTAATATTGGCATGACCTACAATACCCCTGGCTGACAGCCGTGTCTCTCTCTCTATCACACCTTTTTTTGTAATCTGGATGGGAAGTGGAAACCATTAAAAAAGCCTCATAAGTGCCATTTAACTTCTTATCATGAATTAAAAGCTTAATTAAGTGCCTTGTTAAAAGAAGGAAGACCAGTTTTCATGATTAAATAAAACAAAACAACAGTTAGGGGTATGGAGTGAATGACTAACTTTACAGCTTTAAACTCAGTTCTTGGAAAATATTAATTTTAGTTTGCATTTAACAGCAGCTGCTAGAGGAAAACTGCACAATTGCTGAAAAATACCTCCGGTGAAACGCAGGCGAAGTTTTAGCTGTTTACCAAAAACTGCAAATGAAGAGAAAAGCACAGAAGTTAAGAGCTAACTGGGTCCTTTTTTATTAGCTGTAGGCAGCTGACAAACTCCATTCCTCTAACTCTGCTCTGAGGGCTGATAGTTCACACACCATGGCCACATCTGAACCCTTGTTATTAGGTGGCTGTTTTTCCAAGTGCTTATCTGCACACTAAAATACATTGCCTTAACAAAAGGTGTAGTACAAAATCAAATTACCAAGGCTAGCACAAAAGGGTTTATGGAAACTCTTCAATCAGTGCAGAATTAGCTCCGTACTGACTTAGTAAGTTGATTAGAGAAAGGTTTGAACTGAGTCACATTAAGTCACGCTTGAACTGACCTGAAATGTCTAACACAAAGCTTTTCAGTGGTTTAAAACTGTGTAAATTCAACTAGCCCCAATTCTGTGTATGCACAATGTCTTCCTACTGAAATGACTGGTGTATCATAAAGACTGCTCTCACTTGTAATTGGATATAAACAAGAAATAATGTAAAAAACATCTGTTCACTGTTTAGCTAGACAACAGTTAACAATGTCTGGATGCCAGATTAATAAAAACACCCCAACATGCTATGTAGCAAAAAAAAAAGGGCTGCAATTTAGACTTCAGAGACAGATTTACTGCTTTGAATTATCAAAAATAAGTTCTCTTGTTTTGATGTTAAGCTCCCTCACACCAACACTGCATGGGTGTAAAAGCTTTATCCAGCTCCAACATCAAACTTTTGAGAAATAATAACAATGCCCTTTCTCCACAACTGCATACTTTAGCAGTTTTCAAATCATTCCAGAATTTAAAATGCAATGCTTGTATGGTTGACTTAAAAATAACTTTGTCAATTTACGAGTGATCGTCACCTTCAAAAAAGTTTTGAACTGTGAAGACTATATTTAAAAATTGTTTTCAATCTCTGTTTTTCTAGAACAACTATATGACAACGCAGATTGTCTCTAAGCCCGAAAAAAGTATTGGCTCAGGACATTAACTTTCATCTTTTGTTTGAAATTTTCCCACTGGAGGAATAACCCCCCTATATGACAGATTAAGTCAGTTTTCACAGATACCTTTAGAAATAACTCATGGGCTGCCAGAGCTCTGCAGACCACAGACTAAAAACAGTGGCCTTGGGAAGAGCCATTAGCTTGTGAACTGAAAAAGACCCTGCTATCTTCTTTTAATGCCATATAACTAAGATGGTGTTTCCCCTGCTCTATCAGCTCTTAAAAACCAGGAGTGTTTTAGTTCCTTCCGTGAGGAGCTCCAACACTGTTCTTTGTTGGAGGCACTTTCCATATCGATGCACAGGCAGCTACCAAAACGCCCAGTGCTCTGAAGCAGAGCAATGCCAGAAGCAGAGACGTGCACCTTAACCAAGGAATAACTGAGAAATAATGAAGTGCATCAGGCAGCTCTCCTTGCCCCAACTGACTAGTGTTTGTGAGGAAATCATTTAACGGACCACCTCACATACAGCTATTCAAATACAGTAGCCATGGAGCAAATTAGATTCAATGCAGTTAGCAGCAATTAATTTGCATGGGAAAAATACCTTACAAGTAAGAATTGGTAACTGTAGGTATCTTTTTTAATAAGCTAAGAGAATTCTTTTTCAGGATGAGAAAGTTAAAGACCTGGCATCCTGCAACTAATAGAAGCACATGGCAAAACAACAGTGGTGGTCTTAGGTGATGTGTGACAATTTCAGAGTACTGGGAAAAACCTTAAGAACTAGATTCATTGTTTCTGCAAATCCATGGACTTCACTGGAGCTGTAACATCAGCCAGTGTAATCCTGAGTTACTGAAACTTTTTGATCTTTCATTGAGATGTATTCTAAAACGTAAAACTCCAACACTTCGTTTATCCAAAGGGGATTCACTTAAATAGAAATAATTTATGGTAGGACTGGAGGATTTTCTTTTAGGTAGTATCTCATATAAAACACAAAGAAAGACAAACCTTTGTGGTTTAAATCCTCAACGTTGTATGAACATAGAACTGGGTCACTAAGTGCAGACACATCATGATCCCTCTACCACCCCGCTCCTCCCACCCGCCTGCGGCTCAGCGTCTCACCACTGCTGTGATTAGAAATCGGCTAATTTCCAATCTACTTTTACTAAAAGCCAGTTGAAACCAATCAATGTTTGTGTCAACACCGTCTTTTAGTATTAAAGGGAAACTCCTCTTAGCTGTTTCATCTCCTCTGCCTACACAGAGCTATAGCATGTCGTAGTTGTCACGCCAGCAGCATGGACCTGCTATGGTCTTGTCTTCTCCTTTAGGCCAGGCTCCTTCTTCTGAACATCTTGGTCACTCTTGTATATGCCTACTTGAATTTTGATTATTTTTCTTTATCTAACAGGACCTGAATCAAACTTGAAGGCCTTACCAAGGCTTTGTAGAGTAGCGCTGATGCTCTCCTGCCTCTTCATACCTGTGCACCCCTGGGCATGTTTTGTCACCTCTCTGCTCCTGCCCTTGCTTTGTGGTGTGAAAGCTATGTGACACTGACTGAGACTCAATTCTTCCACTGGAAATTATTAGTGGACACTGTAGAATCATAGTGCGCATCCTAGCGTGTCCTCTACGATATCTCTAAACTCCTATGCAAAATGTCTGGGTTGAAATTTCTTCATGAGTAATACTCAGTGTCAAGACTCATGAAGTCACACCCAGTGACCTACTTCTAATGCTCTCCAACTTGTGCCGTGACAACATCATGACACCGCTGAAGTCTCTGGAGAGCTGAACCAGAGGGGCAAAACCGGTGTGTGACACTTCGGGACCTGTCATTTAAAAACACACCGTGCTTCTTCATGAGTGTTAAGCAAACGACGGTGAAAAAACAGAGTGCCTTCCCACTGAGCGACTGCTGTCCCATGCTCTGGGTACACGGCCACCCTTCTTGTGCCACCCGTCCCAGCCGGAGATGCCGGGCGGGCCGTGCCGAGGTGGCGGGTGACGGCAGCCCTGGCCGGCAGGCACACATCTCCCCTCCGTAGGCAGCAAAGCCACCGGCGTGCCCTATGGTAGCTGTGCTGTCACGGCTGTGAGGAAACTACAGTGGGGGTGGAAGCCAACCAGTGAGATTTTGTGGTAAAATAAAGTAAACTTTCCAGTGAGGTATGTATTTTCTACGTCCCTTGGCTTCCTGCTGTGGGAGCCATGCCACATGAGAAAACCCCTGCTTTTTGACAGACCGTGTTCACGATTTCTTGGTGGAAAACACATGGCCTGAAGCAGTTAAATCCCAAACTCGTTGTGAGGGGAGGCGAAAGGAAGCAAGGCTGAATGAGGTGCAGGCGAGGGGAAAGAGGAGGATGAGGATATGAGCTGCCGGAGAGGGGTGTATAGCAATGAGACTCCCAACAACATGACAGCTCAAATGATTTTTCAACAATAACCTGCCGTCTAGAAGCCACATCACCCCTTTCAAATTTCCTGTCCGGAAGAGCAGAATAATATCAGGGTCCTGATAATGCCCTGAACGAAGCTGTGGTAATTAAGCATTTGGGTACAATTCCCTCAGCGGCAGTGACAAAGGCGGGCTGAAGCATCTTAAAGCTTTGCCACCGTAACCATTCGGAGTTACCACTGGTGAGAAAGGCTGGCATGAACACGTCAATCTTTCAGCGACTGCAACCTGCCCAAACACAAAAACTACATCCAGAGCGAGCCATGCCAGGGCAGGCACTGACACCCACGCCATGCTCCCCTTGGCCACCTTAGCGGACCACGGAGGTCTTCCTCGCCACACGGGGAGGAGAGGGCTCGTGTTTTCAGTGGGGGCACGATGACATACTGTACCTCCTCCGGCAGGCTGACCACCAGGTCATTTTCCGTCTGCCCTACCAAGGCCTGCAAGAAGTACTCGCTGCAGGCAGCCAGCACAGCCCGGTGGGCGCGGAACTCCTTCCCCTCCACGATCAGCGTCACGTCACAGAGAATGTCCTGCTTCCGCTGGTCATTTAAGCAGAGGAGAATATTGGTACAGTGCACCGTTGACTCATACACATACATGGGGGAGTCAGTCTTCTCATCCACAGACATGCCGTTCACACCCTGCAGGGGAGAAGGGAGGAAGAAAACACAAACAAGGTGGTCAGGAGCAATGTAAGTCACTGGGCGAACACGGCACGGTGGGATGCTGCCCAATTTCTGGATACCCCGGGACCATGGCCAGGCAGTCCATTAATTCTTAAATCCAAGCAAGTTGCTCGGGAAAGATATTGGGAAGGGTGTTTGTTGCCGCTGGCTTTCACTCCGCTGTGCTTCGATTACCTGTTCCCCTCCCAACTTCCCCTCTCAAAACCAAAATAGGGTTTAGATGGACTGCAAAGTGCTTTCCTTCGACCACCTACTATGCACCTACGATTTTCAATTTAGTAGAGGTAATAGCATGGGGAAATGGGAAATTTTTGAAGATTTTAGCAAAAAAAGCAAGGGATGACTGTCTGATCTATTAATAGTGAAAAAATGGGCTTTGTGCTTGCTTCTGTTATTTTTAGATTAAAGAAAAAAACCCTCAAAACTCCAGCAGACAGGCAGCACTGCATGTTTACACTGAAGACCTCGGCTCAAGTGAAAGGCAAGGTGGGAACCATACCTAACAAAGACAAGCCATTAACTACAGCAACATCATTTTTCAAATCAGAATTAGAGTGATTTTAAGCATTAAGGGGGAGAGAAAGATGTTTACTGGCCTCAGAAGAAACGTTTACAGGTATGGCTAAAGCAACATGCCTTCACCAGTGGTTTAATGCCATCTATAGAGAAGAGCAGTTTCTGAAATCCAGACCCACACACCCAAAAAAATCCCTCGACCCGTGTGGAAGTCCAGCCACGGGTGGTAGGGCAGCATGTGGGTGCTGGGGCTGCTTCTGCCTGCAGGTAAGTGTCCCCCTCCTGACAGCAGAGCAGAGGCTGGAAGGATGTAAGACACCCGTTATAAATTGCCTGAGCTTGGAAGTTCTCTGCCTGGTGTTCTGCAATTTCTGCCACACGTAGAACTGGCAATGCCTCGGAACATGGGGATTGGACTCGCAGTGGTGACGGTGGTGGTGATCAGCTTCCTCCAACACCCAACACCACATGAACCCCCTTCGCATTTCAACATGTTGAACTAATTCTTTTATCCCAAACTTTTTGCCCAGCACCAGACTGAATCCTCTTTTCATTATTTTCCCATTTCAATTTCTCTCAGTAGAAAAGTGTAAAAGCCTGTGCTGTGTCTGAACACACTATATACCCCAAAACAAACCAAACACCATGTTTTAGGGCTTACACGGAAAAAAGGATTATTTGGATGTAGTATTCTATCTGATGCTGAAAGGAAAGTCATGCAAATGCACAAACTTCAAGTATTTTAAGGAGTTATTTTTCCTTATTGTGAACAACTGCCTTCTGAGAGATAAGATTCAGAGGCATAGAGGGCTGAGGGCAACAGACGGTGGTATTTTAGTATAATACTGCTGCACTGCTGAGAACCTGATCACTGTAGCGAGTAGAAGCAAAATTCCTCCTCTGCTACTTTTTAACATGGTTCTTTACAGCATTTTCTTTTGCAAGTACAATATACAGGTACAAGGGTAGATATAACATGACGTCAAACTATTTCTCTTGCCATGAGTTCAGACGAGGGTATCATTTCCCTACAGTGCCCTTTGAAAGATACTAGTAATCTAGACAAGAGTGGACTTACAAGGACCCACTTGTTACTTGTAAGTACTAGACTTCTCAACGGTAATTCCATCTTCCCACCTTTATAGCAGTATTTTTTAAGCCAGTGGCTATGATGACTCTTTCTACAAAATAGGTATTTTTGACAACATTATAAAACTATAATATTACTGGAAGTCTTAATGGGATGCTTACAGATTCTCTTTTACTGGTATTTTCAACATTTACTGCTGACTCATGCTACACTTCTGAGTACCCAGATGAAATGCCTACATGAACAGAAAAAAAACAACCAACCAACCAAACCAGATTAGCCCTTCACTGACTTCATATCCAGAGAGAAGAAACACAGCTACATATTGATCTGCATACAGGTAGGGGAGGGAGACACTTTGGGGTTTTTTTATGCTACCACTTGGATTTCCTAACCAGAAGAAAATTAGAATTTTTTTTTCTCCTCATAAATTGAGAATAATTAGAACAACCGACAGCAATCATTTTATTAGCTCTCTGATAAGGTAAAGAGAAAATGATACTTAGCTCATCCCACTCATAGCTTTCTGTGTAACTGAACTCCGATGCTAACGATAGCGTTATAATGATGTTCTAAATGGTCAATCTTGCGTGCTATGAAATGCAAGAGTTTACAAGAACAATCTAGTGGGAAAACCTGAGAGTTGCAAATGACAATGCAAAGGGGAAAGTGTTAAATTTTTTCTTCTTTTTTTTCCAGGCATGTCTTATGTCTGTAATATCTCAGATGATGAAAAAATATACAAGAAACCTGAAACCCGGCAGGTAATGTACAGAACATCAATTATATCTTCAGTGCTTTTTTAAAAAACAAAAAACCACTGTTTGCCTGAAATTGCAATCCTTTTTTACAGTAATAGTGCAATTTGTGTGAATCAAACCCTGAATTACTTGGTTACTAATTAGTAATTTCCCACTTTTTAACTACAGCTCTTATTGAGTGTCTTTTTTTTTTACAGATTTGTTACGTGCCCTGTGAAGTGCTGAAAATACCACGGTGTATTTCCCCACTGCCGAGCGAGCCTGCCTTCTATGCTAGGAAACCTGACCAACGTGGTACTGAGATGCCGGGGCTGCAAATCGCACCACCCGCTCCAGCGGCCCCCCAGCTGCGCTCCCGGGAAGAGCCTCCACCCAGCTGCTCACACCGCCGCGCTTTCCCCAGGCTGCTGTTGGGACTCCGGGGGGTTTTCCAAAAGTGGGCCCACGCCGTGCCCCTTCCTGCAGCCGTGGAGAGCCCACCCTGATGCCCTGGCCAGCAGCTGCAATCTCAGCCCGGCACAGACTTCCCCTGGCCATGCCCCTGCGCCGCTCCAGGAAGCACCCCGAGCCCTGCATTGCGCACAGGGAAGCCGGGGCTGGGCTACAGCTCGGGGACCACCTATTTATCAGCTTTTCATGTTTCAACACAAGTGATTTATGGTCTTCCCTTTTCCACCATCTGCCATCGCCTGAACGACCTCCAGGCATGAGGTGTTTCCTCTCCAAGAGGGCTTTATCCTGCAGGACAGGAGCAAGACAGTGAAACCCTGCACTGGGAATATATTGTTCATTTTGAGGGGGAAAGGGTTTACAGTGCAGAGAAAAGGTCACCGTAGGGCTTTGGCATGTGATAGCAAGAAAATTATGAGAATTCAACTGTTTTTTTTTTTTTTTTTTTTTTTCCTCTCCTCAGAAGATAAAAGTAGGGATTGGGTATTAACTCTGAACTCCAAGGCAAGCCTGGCTGGAAGTCTTATATACAGTGTTAATTCAAACCGCATAATTTTTTGCTGAATTCAGTATTATGCCGAGTTTGCAGAACCTTCTTCATGGAAATCATTGCTACACACTTGGTATTTCTTCAAACCGAAGAGAGAATGTCTTAGCAAGCCTTTCTCCGGCTCAAAAGAACATGCTGTGCATTTGTTTGCATATAGGTCACCATGCTGCCAGAAAAAGCCTCTTTGAAACAAAAGTTTCCAGAAACTGGCACGAACTGTTGTGGGCAAGGAAAGCACCACTGAAACCTTGCCAAAAAAAAGTTGCTAGTAAAGGCCAGCAACTGCAATGAAGCAAACTGGAACGTTGCTTACACAGTCCTTCCACAGTGATGGGTGGGAGATCCCACCGAGCCTTTCTGCATGGGCAGCATGAAGGAGGCACACGAAACCTCAGGAGACCAAAGAAGTTGCTCATGGAACATCCAAATCACTTCAGTTTGCAGCACACGGTCTCTGCTGCCTGGCGCTCACTCAGAACTCTCCAGGAACTCATAAATGCACTGCCTGAGCTGCCACCAAAAATACATTACCTATCATGAAAAAAACCAGCTCCTGCCTCACAAGACTAGAGGGCAGGCAGTGTGGTGTCTGTTTTTAAAGGGAAACATTAGGGGAGAGAAAATCTTATCAAGACAGACCCGAAAGTCCTGCATCAGAAGTGGGTTAACTATGTGAAAAGGTAAATCTCAACTGTGGCAGAGCTACAGAGCGCTTAACCAGCCAAATTATCATTGTGACAAAGCAGCATGGCTTCTCCAAGGGGAAGTCATGTCTCTGATGGGCTCTATTAGAATTCCTGAAGTGTGTCAAATTAGCAGTGAGGAACACTGGTACGTGTAATTAGCGTTGACTTTCAGAAATCCTTTGACAAAACCTTTACAAAAGGCTGCTAGAGGAGCTCAGTTGTCATAAGATAAGGAGTTGCATCAGACTGGAAATCACTTAGGCTAAACTGTATTCAACAGAGCAGGGATGCAAGGGCAATTTTCAGCAGGTTAACAGTGAAATTCCTCCAGAAACAAAACAGCAGCAGTACTGGCTCACATCTGCCTACAGTCACACCATGCCACTGGACATAAGGAAAAACTGAGGAACTGGCTGCCTGGAGAGGTTGTGCCACCTCCATCCTTGGAGGTTTTCAAGACCATATTGGATATAGTGCTGAGCAACCTCTTCTGGTCTCAGGTGTGACCCGCTTTGAGCAGGAGGTTGTGCTAGGAACCTCCTTGGGTCCTTTCCAACATGAATTATCTGATGATCCAACAGATCCAACGCTAATTTGTGACCAAGAAGTCCACAGACCATGACAGGGAGACTGAAATTGATAAAATTAGCTCAAATATCAAAGGTAATAGGGATTGTTGGGAATTTAAACCAGACTTAATATAAAAAGAACTAGACTCTAACAAGGTGACACACTAAGTCCAGGGCATTCTGTTAAACACAAGTGGCAATTAAAGGGGGAAAAAAAAAAAAGTATAGAATGGTTGATGTTGGAGAGGAACTCTAGATATCGTTTAGTTCAGCCTCCGTGCTCAAAGCAGGGTGACATAGAGAAGGCTGCTCAGCACTGTGCATTAGGGTTTT